ACACACGATCTCTTTATTATATGTTATATCAAATGTGTACATATGTTTATATAGCGATAGAAGGAAGACTAGATAGAGAGAGAAAAATCATAGAAGGTGAATACCATAAGATATATGTAGTGAATAACAAAAGAGAACGAAAGAATGAAAATAATATCTATTAGGTATATGCATAGAGATGTGAATATTCTTCACACTCTAACATTCTCCCATATGTTGAAAAAAAATGTCCTCTGGACATTTTAAAATATAGAAATACAAAAAGTTAACAACAAGAGGCGAAGAGAGAAAAAAATAATAATAATCATAATATATATTTATATGATAAACGATCAGTAGCACTATGTAATAATAAGTGAAAGAAGAGAAAATCAAATATGGCAAATCAATGGAATAACTATTAAATAAGTTCAACATGTGTATCCATAACAAGAAAGCAGAATAATGATAATAAACGTTTAACAAGTTCATCAATAACATAGGAAAATAGTAGAACTAAAAAGAAGGTTAACAAGGTTATCAGTAAGACGTCAAATAGACAAATCAGAAACGAGGTTTAACAAATGTATCAGTTGAGGACCAATATCAGCACCTTTAATAAATGACATCGAACAGAAAATGATGAATGAGACATGACCAAAATAGAATGACAGATTATGAAATATGACATATAGAAGTGATCAGTTTAAATACATCAAAAACAGGAAAAAAAAATAAAGAAGAAAATGAACTGTAACATGATATAGAAAGAAGAGGAAAAAAGGAGAAAAAAAAAATGTACGAAGTGAAGTAATAACAACAATGAAAGACAAAAATGAATATCTGAGAAAAACAAATGTAGATCACGATGATCAATATGAAAAGACGAAAAAAAAAAATATAATTGCATCGTATTTTTTCCATCGAATGTATGTTAAATTATCCATAAATGTTTGGCAATACGATAATGTTAATGATGAGAATGACGTGAACGTGATTGAGATTGTTGATGATGAGAATTTGAACGACGATTTGCACGTGGTAATTGACCATTTGTTTTAAGTTTTTCATAATGTGTTGTTGTAAATAAATCCCGAGATTGTTGTTCATATATATTAATCGATTCTGGATTACGAATAGCCACGAATAATGTTCTTTTGTTTGTCGTTGTTGTTTTTGTATTAACTATATAAAATGGAATTTGTTGTTGTTGAAAGATCATTTTAATTTGTTTTATTGAAAAACGATGATCGATATTTTTAAAAATCAATTCATTTCGATAATAACGTTTACGTTGTTTAATTGTACATGATCTATTGTGCATTTTTTTACGTTGATCATCGGATAATTTTTCACGAGGATTTGTTGATTCATCTTGATTATCACGATTTAATGTTGATTGTGCATTTGTCCAATCGGGTAAATTTATATCGTTTTCATTGGTTCTTATCGATTCCCAATCATGTGAGTATCTTTGTAAATCATTAAATGATGGCATTAATTCTGGTTGATGACTCATAGGTAAATCTATTCGAGTTGATAATGGAAATTTATCTTCCAGAGTGACGATAGATGGAGTAGATGGTTTATTTGAAAAGATAATGTGATTTGAAAATTTTTTTTGATGTGTATATAATGATGAAGTACGTTGTGTATATAATAAATCATCATCTTCATCTGAACTAATAGGTGATAATTGAAATAATTTAGGTTCAATATGTTTCTTCGAATTAAATTTAAATTCAATTTTTTCATTTTTCATATGGATCAATATTCGTTGCATCGATAAACAATCATTTAATGCATATGTTGTCAGTTGTTGTCGATATTGTTTTTCGCTAAAATCTAAATCAAATAAATTAGGATCTAATCCGATATTAAATTTTTCTTTAGTTAATATTTTTGGAAGATACTCATTTAATAAATATGCAATCGAATCTTGGAGTGACCAAGGTTCTGATGATTTCTTCCCGATACATTTTTCACATACACATTTATCTTCTGCTTCATTAGATAATGTTGAAATACGATCGTAATGTGGATGTTGTTCATTCCAAAATAATTTAAATTGATGTTGTAGATTAATTGGTGTAATAGATTGAAGTTGTTCATGTGAAAATAATTTGAAGTTGATAAAAGGAAATAATTCATCCTTGGTTCCCCAAATGTAAAGTTGTTTATTGGACGTAATAATAAGGTCGAACAATTGTTTAATTAATGTAAAACGAGTAGTATTATCACCGGGTAAATGGCACATCTCGACGATCATAACAAGCGACAAATTGTATGGTAATAAAATCTGTATTTGAACTAATGCAGGTTTATTTTTTTGCTTGTGTATGTTAATGGATTCAGTATCAATGATAAATTCAGACGATGATGTTGCTGCCTGTATGAGTTGATGTAATGTTTGTTCAGTTGTTATTTTGTTAATGAAGTACGGGATGTGTGGTAATGGTTCAAAATGTTCATATTTTAATTTATATTCATATTCTTTGATTTGTTTCTTTAATAATTGTTTGTAATTCTGTTGATGTTTTCGATGAATATCAGATGATATATTATTTAATTTTTGTAATGCTGTGTAATATTCTGCTTCTGATAACATGACGAAGATGAAAGAAAGAAAAAAAATATAGTATATATATATATATATATGTATTGTATGAAGTGATCGATTTGCTAACAGGAAAATCTATTTTATTAAAAGGTCAGTTCTGATAGGTTATCTAAATCGACTAATGGTTATCAGATAGAAAGATGTAGGTGTTCGTAGATAGGGATTGAATATTTTATTTAATGTTCATATGTCAATTAATGTTTTTACAAAATTTCATTCCTTGCAATTCTCACTAGCTAGCTGAGAATCGATTAAGAATATATGAATATAAAACATATCCAAGGTTGTATTTCGTATAAATTGAATAATTATTCATTAAGATCATTAACCAACAATTTATAATAGCCCTTCACAACCAGTGAGTGAGGGAAACTCACGCTCCCCGATCATGCTATGCTAAATTAAATCTAATTAGATTAATCCATCAATACATAATTATTCCATTTGGTTTGACATATTGATATTACGGATCTCTTTCTTAGAGGTCCTGTATTTAATAAATTCGTTCAAATATTGGTAGTAACACATCGGTTGTAACTTGACGATATAATGTTGGTTTTTTGACGTGTTGAACGATAAACGTTTTGGGTGTAATTGTTTGAATGATTCTAAATGGTCCTTCGTAACGAATATCGAATTTATAACGGATGTTGAGTGTTTTAACAAGAACTAAGTCACCAATGTTATAGGTTGGATCAGAACGATTTATATCATAACGTTGTTTATATCGTAACGTTGTTTATATCGTAACGTTGTTTAT